TTGTCCCGCTATATCTGCTATCTACCCCTCTGACGATAACCCTCGTTCCTCCGAGCAATCTCCACTACTAATTGATAAGAAGTCCCCATCTCAACCTCCCGAGCCATACTAGCTTGAATACTAGAGTGCAAACCCGCAATAAATCTCTACACCCTCTCTACGTCAGTAAGAAGTATCATAAGTGCATGGCGAGACAGCTCAGATAATCTCGCCTCATAATCAATCACTGACATATGGCCCTGCTCGAGCTGCTTAAACTAACACCGCAACTCTTCCCTCTAGGAGGGTGGAATGTACTTGTCCAAGAAAAGCAGTGTAAACTGGTCCCAAGTCATGGGAGGATAACTTATTGGTCTGCCAAGAAGATAAGACTGCCACCATCTACGGGCTCTGCCTCTAACTGAAAGGTAGTGAAATCTACCCCGTGAGACTCCAATATACTCTTGTTATGCAGTCTGTCCCTTCACCTATCAATGAAGTCCTGGGGATCCTCATGTCGCTGACCTCCGAAGACATGAGGGTGAAGCCTGGTCCATCTATCTAGCAGCTTCTACAGCTCGCCAGTCGCAGCCGGTCTAGGCTCAGGTGCAGCTATTACGACTGGCTAGGCTCGGCCCCGTGTAGTGTGCCTAGGGTATGATATACGGCAACTGCATGTCCAGGAGCTTGAGTAGTAGGGGTTTGTGCTCCCCTTCCTGCCTAAGATGTTGTTGGGTCCGCTAGAAATAGACCAGCCTGAGTCATAGTATCCATAAATCGCAGAATACGGCCCATGACCTCCTGAAAGCCCGGTGCTAACATGTGGCTCTGCTGCGGGCACCTCGCCCTGCTCCTCAATGACGGGATCCTCCACTAGATCCGCTGATGGTGCAACTAGGGTAACTCTAGGACGCCCTCGTCCCCTACCTCGGGCCGGTGCCCTCCCCTGCCCTCTTGCAATGGGGGGAGCAGCTCATCCTGGGTCTGGAACGTCTCCCGTGCACTTTCTCACCATCTGTGAGAGAGTAAGAGAAAGGAACTTAGTATACCATCAACTGCACAATAGTAGATGAATAAAGAGTAGTTTCCTAACACCCTATAGCCTCTCGAAGATAAGTACGGACGTCTCTGTACCGATCCGCAAGACTCTATTAGGTCTGCCCATAACTTGTGAGACTAACGTGAACCTAGTGTTCTGATACCATGTTGTAACAACCCAATTTCATTTTAGGCCATGATGGCGCCCAACATTGTTGCTAGGCAAGCCAACAGTGAACAATCTAGTGATTTCCCATTTTAATAAGTTTACTAAATAAATAACTTGCCTCATTTTAAAAGATTTAGGAAATGACATATGTAAAATACATAAACGGAAGGACCTGAGTACAAATCGAAATCATACAATGAATCTAAAATCATAAGTCTATTAGTGTGTTCCAAGACCTGGTATCACGAGTGTATGGGCTACTAGTAGGATATACAAAATATTTTCACTCTACTATCTGAAATAGAATAGACAGAAAATAAATCAAAAGAGAGACTCTGGCTGCTAATGAACGGCTCGGAAGTGCAGCCCACCGTGTAGTCTCGAACCAGAGTTCAAGCGTGCGCACCGGACTAATAACCAGATACACCTGCCTCAGATCCTGCACATCAAGTGGAGAAGTGTAGCGTGAGTACATAAACAACATGTACCCAGTAAGTATCTAGTCTAACCTCGAAGAAGTAGTAACGAGGGGTCGACTTTGACACTTACTATGGGCCAATAATATAATAATATGAAGTTCTAATCAAACATGATATATAAAGTGATGATAGAACTCAGAGCAGGAAAATAAGTAAACAGTCCTTTCATTTCAAGTAAGAACCAAGTCATTTCTCTCATCTATTCCTTTCACCTTTCAAGTCCATGAAACAATATTAAATATAAAAGGGGTTCCAATATCTTTATGCATGATCTATGTCGGGGACGTACGACCTGATCCAAATATACGTATAAATATATTGTGCATTGCCGAGGGTCGAACGGTCCGAACCAATAGATATATCAATTTTACCTACCGAGGCGAACGGCTCGCTCCTATGAGAGTATTGAAAATTTACCCCGCTTGTGGAATATACTTGCGAAGCGGTTGGACATAGATTTTCTTCAGTTATTATAATATCTCTCAATTCTTTTTCAAAATAAGAAATTCAACTAAATTTAACTAGGAACCTTTTAAATATTGAAATCCTTAACCTCTGCTTTAATCCAAACAATTAGTAAGCATAAACAAGCAACAGAATCAACAAAACATTGTGTAAACATAAATCTACATGCACATAAGCATGAATAATAGCTACGAATAGACTCTCGTCACTTCGTGCATACGTAGCCCCCACAAATAGAAGTACATGTTGATTAAATTCACATATGGGGTTAATTTCCCTCTTACAAGGTTAAAAAAGAGACTTGCCTCATCTCAAGGCCTACTTTCCGGTCCAAGATTGTGCTCAAACCCTCAAATTTGGTGCCAAACGACTCAAAACAAGTCAAATATTATACAAAACAATCAATTCATGCTCAAAAGTTCATATTCCAACTATGAAAGTGATTATCCAACTCTAAATGTAAGATTCCTAAAATTCACCCCAAGGCCCACATGCCCAAATTCCGGAAATTTTCGAAGAAAGTTGTTGCCCATAACCCCATGAACTCAAATATATGATTTTCACTAAATTCCATAACCAATTTCGTGGTCAAATCTCATTTTTATCAAAAATCTAGGTTTTCATCTAAACCCTTGATTTTCACCAATTTTTACATATTAATCTACCCATAATCTATGTATTTAACTCATGTTGTGTAGAAATTACTTACCTTGAGGTGCTAGGTGAAAACCCCTTCCAAGAGCTCCAAAAATAGCCCAAAAGTTGAAAGAAAATGAGCTAAATTGTCTAAGTCTCGTAATTAATAAGTTGTGCATAGGCCTCAGATGTCGCATTTGCGACACCTAGTTCGCAAATGTGAACCTAGGCTTAGGCTGCTAAGGTCGCAAATGCGACCATGGAGTCGCAAATGCGGACTCTGTTGAGATCGCAAATGCGACCAATGTGTCTAACATTGCCTAGGTAGGGCTTCTTCGCAATTGTGAAGCCCTACTCGCAAATGCGAGGTTCGCATTTGCAAACAATTTCTCGAGCCAAAAAATACTAGAAAACTGATGTGTTTTTCATCCTTCCGAACGTCTGAAACTCACCCGAGCCCTCGGGGCTCCACACCGAACACCCATACAAGTCTAACAACATCATACAAACTTGTTCACGCGATCGAAACACTGAAATAACATCAAAACCCACGAATCGGACGTCGAAACGCATGGTTTAGCTCACGAACTCAAAAACTTCTAAAAATACTTCCGCGCATCCGATTCCTATCAAATCAACTCAGAATGACGTCAAATTTTGCGTGCAAGTCTTAAATGACATTAAGGAAATATTTCCGATCTCGAAATTCCGTTTGGTCCTCGATATCACCAAAGACCACTCCAAACCAAATTTAAAGAACTTCTAAAACCTTCAAAGAACCAACTTTCACTATTAGGCGCCAAAATGCTCCCGGGTCATACAAAACCCGATCGAACATATGCCCAAGTCCAAAATTATCATACAAACCTATTGGAACCGTCAAATCTCGTTTCCGAGGTCATTTAGTCAAAATGTTGACCGAAGTCAAACGTAGCCTTTTAAGGCCAATTTAAGGAACCAATTGTTCCGATTTCAATCCGAACCCTTCTAAATCCTGAACTAACCATCTCCGCTAGTCATAAAACAGTAAAAGCACGTACGTAAAGTCTTATTTAGGGAAATGGGGTTCTAGAAAACAAAACGATCTGTCGAATTGTTACAAAATATCTATACAAATCCAATAAATAATATTTTACACATGGATATCCTTTCATGTATACGAAAAATACTGTACTGACTTTTGAAATTGGAACGATATGCTACAAAATTCTATGTACCAGCTAATTGGAGATTGTTAATGAGTTCGGCGAATACCAATGATTAGCGATCTTGACTCAAAAAATTGGTCATTAATTTTTTCATGCATCTATTATAATATATATAATTTTAATTTTCTTATATAATATTAACCTATGTACGTCAATATATGTATCATTTTTTGGGTCTTTGTGATAATTCAGGTAATTCTGAAAGCAGTTGATGATTCCCTGCTGGACTATTTGGTTGTGTTATTTGCATTTTAAGAGACTAAGGTATTCCTTTGTACGTTAATTTCCGTAATTTATTACACTATAAGTCTCGCTTGTGCACTTATTAGCTTAATCCATGGATGAGTATTGGCTACACCTATCAAAATCAGAACATACCAATTAGCAGATTCACCTATTATCGCCGGCATAACTATATCTTAGAAAATGTGAGCCAATATTAAAATATTATAAAGCTGATGATTCTCACCGAGAATTGATTAAGGGATCTTGCTATTTCCATACGAATCAGCACTGACAAGCATCTGCCCGTCACTCCAACAACGGCACCTAAGAAACTCAAGTTGTGGTGGAATCAACCAAGGTGAATGTCGTCCAACCCTACCTCTTTCTTCCCGGCCTATTGTACTCTATAACCACCGTCAGAGATGGAGCTATGATTTTAAATTTTTGGGGTCATGTTAGTAATTTATATTATATTACATAAATTTTTTAAGACAAATACAGAATTTGGATCAAAATTACTGGTTCAATTGTACCCGTAAATTGGTCTCTGACTCCGCTCCTGGCCACAGTTATTAATTAAGTGGGGTATTTGGAGATCGAATTCCTCCCAAAAACATACAAACTAAGACACGAACTAGATAAATAGAAATTGAAAAAGACTACTCCTTACATAGCTGAAATTACGAACATGAGACCGGCCAGCGTCCCGACTACAATATAGTAAAATCTAACTTCGCATGCATGAAATTCTAAACTAGCTAATAAAAAGATCCGAAAAAAACACACATTCAAAGAAAAACTTCACTCATGCAGCGTTGGGCTACTTGAAGAGAAACAGTCAGCGAGTAGAGACTTAATCTCTTCATCATCATAATCATCATCTTCCTCCTCCCTATGGCCATAACCAATACCAACAGCTGGGTTACTATTGCAGTAACTGCCGAAGGAAGCCTGTAATTCTGTCATACTCATCAGCTTTCTCCTCTTGTAGTTAGCCTTGAAACAAGCTTGCCTCAATCTCTTTGTTTTCTCCTCAAGTTCCATGTCTGGTACTTCTTCCAACATCTTCTTCTCTTCCTCCAAAAGCTTTATCACATCCTTCAACTTTTGCTCCATACCACTTCCTCCCCCCTTTTCCAGTTCCTGCAACATGCATCACCATATCAAAAGGAGTGTTAACTTTTGCACAACTGTATAAAAAACTATTATACTATCAAGTCAATTAAAACCTATTACAGGTAGAGTTTAACTTATATACACCGACAGGCCACTATAAATTTTCATAAAAAGTGAGATATGTAATATTGAACCTGTCATAACGCGTAAAAATCGATGGATATATTAGTTAAACTCTTGGAATAATCTATAAAAATCATTGCTAGATAACCTTGCATTGTAGTAATTATTAACCAGATATAGCAGGTAAACTTATGAGTAGAATTTTTTATATTATTCGTATATATCGGAAAATAAATTTTTCATTAGTATAAATTAAGTATAATTACATAATCAAAACAACAGTAACATATGTATATAGAGAGTGAACCTTAACATTCTTGATTAGTGTTTGAAGACTCATCAACTTCCGATGAGGCCACCTTCGAATTCCCAACTCCCTACATCTTTTCTTCAATAATGTCAACCCAATATTGAGTTCTTTGGCTGCTTGTGTTATAGGCATATAAAAGTACTTGGAAATGGTTTCTCGAGACAACATTCTTGTACTATTAATCTCCTCTATTTGCCTTGAATCCTTCTCTTTTTTCTTTATTTCCTCAACATGATCATTTGTTATGATTATCTCTTGATTTTTATCACATAACAATAGTTGATTGTTCCCACTTCCAAGCTCGTCACTTAATCCAAAACCATTTCCTAGATCGCCATAATATAACTCTCCTGCGGCTGTAACATTTCGAAATAGTTAATAAATAAAAATTCTTAAAAGTATCAGTTGCAGAAAAAAAAATTATTGCAATATATAGTTACTATATATGACCACTACCTGGTGTTAGGCACTGGAGTGGTGTACTATAGAAAGATGAATACAAGGGATCGTCGAGAGTAAATTCCATGAAGGGATTAGCATCAAATTCTTGAATAGACAAATCATACTGATAATCGATAGCGTGGTGTCCTGAATATCCACTGTTTTTCACGTATATTAATCATCCACATACAAAAAAGGGAAAACAAAAAACATGAAAACAAAAATTAAAGAGAGAATCAACTAATAATATAAAATGCAAACTCAACTAGTACGTAGTACATATAATTAAATATAATCACCTGAATTCAAGGGAAGGAAGTTGGATAGGAAGAGAGAATACGTCTTGATGATTTTCTTGGTTAGTACTCAGTACTTCAAAGTTTGACTGACTTCTCATATTTGATCAAATAATGACTTCAAGTGTTGGATTATAAGCTTAAGTACTTAGTCGTCCAAATTTGCACCCATGAAAATGAAACTGAAAAAAAAACAATATAAGGACTAAAGGGATCTCTGGCTTTGGATTATTATGAAGTAGGGAAAATGGGATGAGGAGAAGAAAAGGCGGATTGAAACTGAGAAGTGATTAATGTGAAAGTAATTATGAGAATTAAGTGCACTGGAAATCGTGCGCCGTCGTTATGCATGCATGTTTAACATTAATTATTTTCGTTTTTGATTTATGTGTTTTGTACCCCACGTACGTCTGTGAAGAGATACAATCATGAATTCTTTTGGAAAATTGATCCTAAATTAAATAAAATCACCATCTTATTTCCATAGACCAGTTTCACGATCTTTATGCAGAAAATAAACAATAAAATAAAATAAACCTGAAAACAGATAGAATTAAGGAGTTGTGAAATATAACATAAATAATATGAGTATTAGATCCATATATATATGGGAAATTTCCATTTCCTAGGGACTATCAAACCCGAGGATTAATTTAATTGCATTGCTATATCCCAAAGTTATATAACAAAACAAGCACAGTAACTAGAGAAACGATTTTGTTATGGTAAACTCATTCCTTTACTAGTGAGGGGCAGGTTTAAGCAATCTTATAAAATTAAAAGGCAGTTGCGGTTTAGACTTTTGTATAATACCTGCATCGTACATTTGTTGCTTTTCGTTAATGAAGATTCAAATGCTTTCCATTGTTTTGTTCAAGTAAAGTTCTAATTTGCTTTCTCAATTGGTATTTGTATTATAAACTTTCCCTTGCTCATCTTTATATTTTTATTCTGAATTTCGTTAGTTCATTAATTTACTCCTCTTTTCTTGTTCCTTTAAGCTTAAACTTGTGGGTCATATTTTAACTATAAATCTGAACATATTCAGATATTATCAATAATTCAAGCTTTTTTCCTCCTTTTTTGTTTTCCTTAAGTTTCTTTAACTGTTCGATAAGAACAAATATCTTGACCAGCACTCTTTGACAACTTTATCTTTGTCATAGTTCTCAAAAAGAAAAAATATATATGAGATTTAGTGTCGTGTTATTAATCATTAGAATTAATATCGATGCTTTTGTCTAATAGGAATGTAGTATAGTAGTTTTAAGAAGATATATTTAAAATTGATTAATATAATTAACTCAGTAATCAAATTACTACTCCTATGAAGTAATACGCTAAAAGATATTTTTTCTAACAATATTAGTAGTGGACAACATACATTAATAGCATAGCTGGAACGACCAAAAAAAAAAAGAATGCCATAGGCCATTGGTATTTTTTAAAAAAAAAATTCAAAGAGAAACTACTCATTAAAAATGAAAAAAGGAATTTTTATTTTGTGGGAGCAGGTTTATGCGAGGCGGGTTGAAAACAAACAAGTTTTGCTATGCGGTCCGGGTTGAACTCTTTGGGGGTTATGGCTAAACCCGCATCGCAACTGCCCTACCCCGCGCCGCCCCATGGCCATCTCTAGGGTGTATTCATGCTGTTTTTTTTTTCTCCACTCAGGTTTAAGTTCAGAACCTGCTTTATTAACTATAAAATGATACAACGCGGATTTATTTTCTTTCATGAAAATAATAATCTTTATAACCAAATCTGTAAGCACCTCGTTGTCACAATTGTCATTCCAAATTTTGTTTTTCTTATTTTTCTCTTTACCTTTGGTGGACGACAGAATTCTTGGTTTTGACTCATATTCTTAGCAATAGAGTTGAACTCGTGTGTTCGAAATATACTGAAAGTAAACTCACATAACGTAAGCAAATTAGCAATCATTCACTCATAAAAGAACAGAGTTAATGTTACATCACTCATCATTCGTTTCATTTAGGAGTGTATATAACGCTTAGGGAAGTTACGATTATATTTATTTATCCTTCAATATAGAGTGTAATATCGAATTTATTCTACTTATCCCAAATGATAAGTAGTGTTGGGCTACTGATACTTATGGTAGCATTTATTAGTTATAATTAATAAAAACCAGTACTATTTAATACTGGAGGTTACTGACTTTTGCCACTAAATTTTTCCCTAGATATTTGGAACAGAGATTATTACCTTGTTACCGTGAAGAAAGCTTTGTTAATTTTGATGGTTCTTAAGCCCACGCCAACAAAAAAGTGTCACGTTGTGATCAGTGGTGGATCCATGATTTTATACAAGGGGGTTCAGTAATTAAGGATATTACCCGAAACAACAAGACAGATTTATGCAACACTTTTTTTTTTCTTTTTGTTTATAATGCTACCATGCATAAATGAAAATTTTATGAAAGTTGAGGTCGATATCTTTTTTTAAAAAAATTGTTGGGCAAAAAATTAAAAATATTAATTTACTTTAACTAAAAAAAATTTAATTTTATCTATTTAATCTAATAATTGTACCTCAGAGAATGTAAATTTTAAAAAGTATCAAAGAGACTTTATCTAAAATCTTATTTTGATAAAGTTGTATTTTAAAAAAAAAAATAGACAACAAGAAAAAGAGATACATATAAACTAATAGAAACTAAGTATAATTAAGATAAGAGAACTTATAAAATAAGCTAACAATTATAGTGTAACACAGTAAATAATATAGCATAAACTAATTTAAGATTAACTAACAAAAAAATAATATCAATTGTTTCACTTACATGTTTTATCAAAATTTATGTAAGAACTTTCTAGATAATTTCTTGAAGTAAATAGACGATATAATTTAATTCTTATTATTTGATTTGAGTAAAAATATCAAATTTAAGTTAAAACAGAAAACAAAGATTGGAAAAAGAAATACATGAAGTAGGAGGGAAATAAATTTGCTGTACGTCCACAGGTGGAAAATATATGACAAAAAGTACGGTGTCAAGAACGAACAATAGCTGTTGTTGGGAATCCAACACCCGACCTCCAGCAAACAGAACCATTTTTACAAGGCTTAAACTTTGGTCAAGTGGGTTCATTAATAATAATATATCCAAGTTTGCAGAATATAACCTATATGTGCACGTGAGTCCGCCCCTGGTTGTGATGAGGTTCTTCTTTTTCTTTTTTCAATAAATCCCTGGTTTTAATTAAAGTTTACTTATATTTAGGGCTGTTTTGGATATCCGAAATACGAACCGATCCATTCAATTTTGAATTTCGGATTTCGAATTATGTTTATTAAAATTTTGGATTCCGGATCGAATTTCGGATTGGTATATTTTAATCCAATCCAATCCGAAATCCGAAATTATTAGGCCATGTATAAATACTACACTTTAATTTACATCAACCTCCAAGTTATTAACTTTACAATTGCTAGATTTAACTATATTGGCACCATAGTACTCTCATAATTGCATAAACATGAATTTTTCTTAATGTATTGCATCTTTTACAAAGAAAATATACATATTAGCTTAACTTTGAGGCATAATAAAATGATCCGATATAATTCAAATCGGATTCGGATTGCATTTTCTAGAATCCGAAATCCGAATCCGAAATATGCTAAATCTGATCCGATCCGTGCACAACCCTACTTATATTGCAGTGTAAAAAGTTTTACCCTATGAATACATTTAGCTTTTCTTTTTTCTACTAAACATACATATGATAGTGATTACATGCAGTTATTACAATATCAGTGAATAAAAGCTAAAAACCTTATTCCTTCTTTACCTCCAAACTTGCTCTGCCTTAAATGTTTGTACATTCTTTAAGGGGGAAGGGGGAGAGGGGAGTTTCATGGGTCAAAATATCAGACAACCATCAGAAGGCTTCTCATATTTAACAATTTAACCAGCTTTTGGTAAGATAATAGGTGATGCCGCCAATAAAATGCTATTTCATGTAGTTCTTACAGCCATGAGACTTAAGCCAGCAAAAAACATTATGACAAAACTGCGGGAACATAGATGCAGACCAAACTTTGGATTTTAAACAGCACGTAACAAGACTAATCAGAAGAATCTGGCAGTCTACTGTTAGCTTGTTTAGTATCTTGACCTCCCTCCCCTTCCTCGACCACGCCCATATCCACCTCCTCTTCCTCCACCACCGCCACCACCTTTTCCACGGTTAGCATAATGTTTTACTTGCATATTCGCTGGAAGGGGTTGTATCTGATCTACACACTTCCTAAAGCTAAAATCATCCACGGAATCATCTTCCCTAACAACAAAGAAGCAGCGACTTTTGAACTGTGGATGAAATCGGATTTGGAAAGAGCGAACTCCTGTACCAATCTTCTTCTCTGGTTCTGAATGGCCCTTCTTAAGTAAGTCAAGTAGCAGCATGTGCTCATACTGCGACACCAAACCAACAAAACATAAGTGATCATGATCATCATATCAAGCACTCAGATGTAAGTAATAAATGTAACATTCCAAGTATCTCTAATGCCAAGATTTAGTTCCAAAATGAGATCCATGAAAGCTGAATCATAGTTCCAACAGAATATCCTTATGAAATGGACTTTCTTGTGCAGGAATAATTATTAACTCCTCTCTAACGTTATGACTAATACAAATGATATACATTTCTGTGCAAGTATTTGGCCATTTTTTGCTCTCAATAATTATATCGAGTTGAAAGCACCAATCCCACAAAGATATTAATTTGACCCCAACAAAAGGCCAAGTATAGTTCAACAGGCAAGAAAGCAAGTGAATTCCAAATGGAGCCTAAAGGCAATCTCTGAGCAACGTGAATTGAGGATGGAGTGGTAATTGAGAGCAAAATCAAATCAAATAGATAATCATTCCGATTACAACCAATAAAGTCCGAATTGACTAACACCTCTAATTTAGTCATAGAAAGATTAATACTATAACCAGAGGCAGCTACAAGATTATCCAAGTAACAAAAAAAAGATGTCTGTTGTCAAAACACACACACATATCCAAAATGGATGTACAGTCAAATATGTCGAGGTCTTAAATCCTTTACATTTAAAGGTAATTTTTAGAAAACAAAATATAATAACTAAGCAATCCGTATTAGTCATTTTGACATCGATGAGAGTATGATATAATGCAGTTTGATGTTCTAATGAAATGGAAAATCAGGATGTTCCCAAGTAAAAGATCCTAAATAGCCAACCCAAAAAGTCCCAAATTTTCAGAGTCCATTGCCCATACATAACCAACTAAACCAGAGAACCGCAGGACAGGGTAAAAACCAAACCTTGCTTTACACAATATTAAAAACACTAATCACCTGCTCATTTTGTGAAATATGCTGAATAGGTGAATCTTTGCAAACAAGGTATTAACAAACAGTGTGATATTTTTACCTTGTTGAGATCGAGATTAAGAGTCCAGGAATGGAGGAGTTTGTAAAAGTAATCAAACATCTCCACAGACGACCCGAAACTCTTCGGACCCACGCTAACCGGATCCGACCCATCTTTCTTTTCTTCTTGAACGGAGTTCTCGACTTTCGGCTTCTTCGTGGCGTCTCCATTCTCTCCATTCACCTCTAGCTCGTCTCCCTCCTCCCTTAGACGCTTCGAGCTGCCGTTCTCCGCCGCATCATCGGCGGCTTGAGCCTCCACGTCCATTTTCTGTGCGGAGGCTTCTTCTTTCTCGGTCTGTGCTACGGTTTCGGAGGCTTGAGGTTCAGTTTCCGCCATGGCAGAGCTGCTCGACTTAAAATTTTCGGGTAAAGAAACCCTAACTCTTGCTTTACTTTAAAATAGCGGGTTCTTTTTACCCGACTTAACTGATCAAACCCTAATGTACGTTGTAAATTCGCTAACCCAAGAGAAGATCCCAGCTAATTTTTTCTTTGTTTTTTACCTTACTACTTCTTCCCCTTTTTTTCTGCACGAAAATATTTTTAAGAATTAATATAATAATAGTACAGTACAATTTACCAATACTTTCGACCTTTTTCAAACTCTTTCAAATGTATTTTGCTATTTTTGCTTTTAGACCAATGACAATTTTATTTGGAACTCTTTAACTTACATAGCCATTAGGAGCTAGTTATGTAAAGTTACAGTTTGCTGAAACTACCAAAAAGAATTTTGTAAAAATTGCACGAGGCGCCGTATTTGGTCATTCTCATTTAATCTTTTAATTTGTATCCATTTTTTAAATAACTTTAGCCCACTTTCTCTTCCTCCTTCTCCTTCTCCTTCTTCTTCTTCTTCTTCTTCTTCTTCTTCTTCTTCTTCTTCTTTCTTCTGCTGTTGTTGGTGCTGCTATGAAACTTCAGTTCATGGGGATGATTTTCATAAGTATGTCTTGTATAGGTCCTAAATTGGACGACCACGACCACTGACGAGGGCGGCGAGGGCGAGGCCCTTACGACGCAGCATCCCTTGATCGTTGTAGAGGGCGACGACTGTCAACGGTTAGTAAACGCACAACATTTGTAGTAGTGTAGGCGCAACAGGGGACAACAGGAATATGCTCTTCGAATATTCTTTATGTTGTACTTTTTAGGGTTCAAGAAGGGATTGTCCCTTATAAATAGAAGGGGAGAGAGATATCTTATGGACTTTGGACTAAGAGCATCCATTACAATATCTTTCTACATTCAAAGTTATCATATATATGCTTAATCGTTCGGTTTCAAGATATTAAGAAACATTATTCATCTTGTTCATCACTTGCATCTTTCAATCTAGAGTTTATTATACTTGGCTGAGATTTACCTCTTCATCTTCCTTAATTGATTTAATAAAAAAGATTTCAATATATTTTGGGTCAAATAATTTGACACCGTCTGTGGGGATTTCTTTAGCTAAGATTTTAGTTTCATCTAGACTCTTGAAAGGGATAATCACCTCTTCCTAGCTTGGTACAAACCAACAATGGGAGGGAACGGAGATGCAAGGCAAAAAGCAATAGTAGGCGTCACAACCAACCTTCTAAACACTATCAATGTAGATAGCAGAGAGGATAACAAAAATGAAACACCACACACCACACCCGGGGGAGACGCTTCACCTCCCCTGCACGAAAGTGTGACTGTTTCGCGCGAGAGGGAAGCCTCCACATCTGCAACAGGAGAGGCACCATCGGCAATAAGAAGACTGCTGGAAGAATTGCTAACAAGTACTCTGAACACCATACTTGATAAACCCGCCCAAAGGGATAACAGGAATGTTGTACATGCAGATGTCACGATAAATGCTGATGAGCAAGACGCCCTTCGTACAGGTAACACTTATGTTGCTAATGACGCAGGCAATGATACGCTTGCGGCCGTTTTAAAGAAAATAGAGGAGATGGAAAATGAGAATAAGACACTCTGTGACCAAATGAAGGAACACAAAGAAAGGGTTGACAAAGTACCAGGCACTCCAAAGTTGTTGCCAAAACGCGACATTGGTCGATTCATCGAGCAACCATATAGTGAGGAAGCGGCCCCCTACTCCATTCCAAAGACCTTTAAAATGCCGCCCTACTTAAAGATATACGATGGTACGACCGATCCAGAAAACCATATCATCCACTACGTTACAGCCTTAAAAGGTAACAATCTTTCGAAAGAGTAGGTATTATCGGTGTTATTAAAAAAGTTCAGCGAAACCCTAACAGGGGGAGCCTTGACATGGTTCTCTCTATCGGCACGCTCGATAGCATCGTTCAAGGAAATGGTAGATAAATTTGTCATCGCCCATGCAGGAACCAAAAAGGCAGAAGCTAGGGTAAATGATATATTTGCCATAAGATAGATGCACGGCGAGGGACTCAAGGACTTCTTAGCTCAGTTCAACAGGGTGAGAATGATCTTGCCGAATGTGTCAGAAGGAATGGCAGTAGCAGCCTTCCAGAACGGATTAAGCAGAAACGGGTCGAGAGCGACCAGAAAATTGCTAAGCAGGCTCATGAAATACCCTCCAACTACTTGGGAAGAAATCCATAATGCCTACTGCGCCGAGGTACGAGCCGACAAGGATGACCTCAGCAGTCCGACCCAACGGTTG